CCGCGGCCCCGTGCGGCGGCGGCGGCGCGCCCTGGGACGGGCAGCAGGAGCAGCAGCAGGAGCAGCAGCAGCAGCCGGGGCCGTCTGTTTCGGTGCTGCAGCGGGGGCTGCGGTTTGACGGCGACCTGACGCTCGGGGATCTCATCCGCGCGTTCGAGCTGAGGAATGCGTACGACTGGGACGAGGACCTGAGTGTCCCCAGGGAGCCGCAGGTGCGTGCGCGCGGAGTGGCGGCGAGCCGTGCAGTCGCATGGCAGCTCCACTCAGGGTTTGCAGGGTGGGGTCAAGTGCGCCGCGAATCGGGGTGGAAGCTACTGCTGAGGATCTGTCCGCCTGCTTGGGGGCAGCGGGTCAACAACTCGTGAGTCGCGCACAGCCGGTGAGCTTGAACCAGCTGTAGGTATTGATGATGACGTGTCGCCCTGCCCCCCTATTGCAGACCGAGGCGGATGGCCGCTTACGAGGCCACGGGGAGCTTGCCGGCGCGCAGCCGGGGCTGACCCTCGTGCCCGATCCGCAGCCCGCGCAGGGGTTGCCGGCGCGGCGGCCGTGGATGCAGGGCGAAATAGAGCAGGGCGTGCCCAAGCACCTGGCGACGTGGCTGGACCAGGTGCGGGGGCCGGCACTGCTGCGCACACATGCTCTCAAGCTGCCGCAGCTTGCGGGCGTGAGCAGCGACAGCTGGTTGGGCGGGCCACTGGCCCGCCCAGCACATGGCAGGCTTTCCATGTGGGCCACTCATCGGTTAGCCTACCTCTGATTGATAATCCCTGACTCGTGTGTGCTGCTGCAGCCCTGCAGTGTGTCTGCACTTGCGGTCGGCTCATCCCGTATCACCCCTCTTGAACCCTTGGCTCCAACTGAACCACTTCCTTGCAGGTTGAGAGCGTGCGCCAGATCTCCGACATGCTCGCGAGCGCCGGCCAGTGGCAGGCGGGCTGCGCCGTGCGCGTCGAGCCCACGTCGACGGCGGCCGCGGCGGCGCCCAAGAAGCGCGGGCGGCCGCGCAAGGAAGGGCCCTTCACCCCAGAGCAGTCCGCGGTGCTGCAGCACCACCACGCGCGCCAGCAGCAGATGCTGCACCGCGCGGCGGCGCGGCAGGCTGCGGCGGGCGGCATGTTCGGCGGCAGGGGGGCGGCGGGGGGCGGGTGTAGCCCATTCAGGCAGGCGCAGCCGCGTCAGCTGCAGGGCGATGCATTATCGCCTGCGCCGCACCTCCAGGTGCACGGGCAGCTCCAGGCTGCCGCTGGAAACCTGCCCCCGATGCGCTTTGCGCCTGCTAGTCAGCAGCAACAGCTGCTGCTGGAGCAGCAGCAGCAACAGCAGCAGCAGCTGCAACTGCAGCACTTCTACCACCACCACTACCAGCAGCAGCAGCAGTGGCAGCAGCGGCAACATCGGCTGTGGCAGAAGCGGCAGCAACGGCAGCAGCGGCAGCAGCAGCAGCAGCAACAGCAGCAGGAGCAGGAGCAGCAGCAGCAGCAGCAGCAGCAAAAGCAGCAGGAGGTTGAAGAGGTTGATGAGCTGTCAGTGCAGCAGCCGGCCCTGCAGCGAGCGGCAGAGCAGCAACTGGCAGAGCAGCAAGCGCAAGGGCAACCGTCACTGCCCCAGCCGCAGCTGACACCGCAGAAGCAGCTGCAGCCGGTGCGGCAAGCTTTGCACTCAGCAGAGCAGCGGTCTCAGCAGCAGGAGCAGCAGCAAGAGCAGGAGGCGGAAGAGCGACAGGACGACCAGGAAGAGCAGGAGGAGGAGCACAAGCAGCAGGCAGCAATGCCGTGGGCTACCAATCTGGAGGGCGACCTGAGTGGGGTGCCAGCTGCACGGCAGCTGCCCTCGATGCTGGGCGGCCCGCCACCCCAGGCGCCGGAGGGCGCCCCTGGTGGCAACCTCGGGCAGGCGCCTTGCGCCTGGCAGCCGGCGGTGGGGCAGTCAGGGCGCTGCGGCGAGGCGGCCGAGCAGTTGCCGGCTGCGGACGCCATCGAGGAGGTCTTGCATGACGCTGCCGCAGAGGACAGCGACGCCAGCGCCGAGGCCGCCCCCGGCAGCCAGAGCCTGTTCCACGCCTGGGGGGCCGGCCAGGGCGCGATTGGGGGCGGGCGCGGGGGCAGGTGGGGCGGCAGGCCCGCCGGCCGCGGCGGGCGGCGCAGGCGCGACGACTCCGACGACGAAGACTACGTCCCCGGCGCCGAGGACGACGGCGACGAGGCGACGCCGCAGCGCGGCGGCCGGGGCCGGGGCCGGGGCCGCGGGCGCGGCCGCTTTGGGGGCGGGCGCGGGCGCGGCGGCGGCGCTAGGTGGGGGTCGCCGGCCGGGTACTCATGCTATGGCGGATCGCCGATGGCGATGGGGATGGGCGGCCTGCAGTTTGATGAGCTGCTGGCTGCGCAGGCCGCGCATGCGTATCACGCAGCAGCCGCCGCCGCCTGGCAGCAGGCGCAGATGGGCGCGCTCGGTGTCCATCAGCAGGTGCCGGCGCAGCACACGCCTGCGGCGAGGCCTGGGCGCGGGGGCGGGATGCTCGGGGCCCTGCCCGCGCGCGCCTATGCGACGCCCGGCGGCAGGCACGGGGAGGCCGGCGGCGCGTACGCAGGCGGGCAGGCCGCGGCAGCTGGGGGATCTCCACGATGGGGGCAGCTGCAAGGGCAAGCACAGGCGCAGGCGGCGCTGCTGCCACTGCCGGCGGAAGCCCTCGCCTTCCCCGCAATGCTCCCCGCTGCGCCCCACTTTGCCATGGGCGGCTGGCCGCTCCAGGTGCAGCAGCAGCAGCAGCAGCAGCAGCAGCAGCAGCAGCAGCAGCAGGAGAACTGCGCGCTAAGACGTTGGTGACCGGCGCCCCTGTGTTGCATGCCAGTTTTTGGGCAGCAAAGACGATCCTAGATTGGGTGTGTTGTCCCGCTCCAATGCAAAAGAGCGCGAGCGGCCGCGGCAACTTGGCTGTGCAAACCCGCCCATCCAACGATCCCCGTACCGCACATGATTGTAAGTGGCCTTTGGCTGCGCATCGCACCCATAAGCAGGCTGTTGACGCTGCAACGAGGTTGCACGGCCTCGTTTTTCGTTGTCTCGCTTGGCTCCCCGCCCTGGGGTACCAAAGCATCCCGCTGCTAGGAGCAGGCTGGCGGATGGGGGCGCGACTTGTGTTGCGCCCCGCGCCGCACACGGCTGAGAGCCCAGGATTCAGAATTCGTCGGCGCGTTCCAAGGAGGGGTTTTCGCCCGGCACGCGGGCTGAAACAGAGCCCTCGTGTGCCCCTTGCATGCATGTGCGTGGCTTCTGGTCTAAGCGCTGATGAGAGCCGAGACTTCCCCCACCGACCCTGGTGTCGACCCTGACCAGCGGACACACATGCTTTTCAAACACTTGCCCCTCTCCATCGACGCGCGTGCGCCCCACCACGGACGGACGCGAGTGCCCTCAACAATCGCCTTTTTCAGGTTGGCACACACGAGCAGACGCGTTTTTGCATGCTGACCGTGACCCACAGACAAAAACTCCCTTCTGATGCCTCAACCCCTGCCTCATGGCTCAACGAGTGGCTTGCGCCGTGGCTCCGCCTGTACCGCTCTCAAGCCATTATTGGCGACCAACACCTTCCAGCCACCATGCAACGATGAAAGCGCTTACACAAAGCGTATGACTCATGACAGCAGCCCCATCTGGGCCAAAACATGCAGGTCTGCTCCGTCCTGGCAATTGCCACGCCTGTCACAACCATCCCCTTGTGTAATTGACTCGCCACAACAGCAAGCGGTGCCGCACAGCAGTCAACTTGAATGAGAAGCAATGCAGAAACAAGGTCAGCAGTTTTGTGATCTGTTGTTTGTGAAGGTCAGGAGTTAGGAAGGCGGGCAGCTATGAACGCCCCAGGCAGAGTACGTGATGTGTCAAGTTTATTGATGCGCAGATCTTACGAGTGTCAAAGGGTAGAAATGCATTCGCCTATTAACTCTACATGAAGCCATGGTTGGTCTCCACGTAAGATTGACCTGCGGGTTACAGGGCAGTGCAAGGCCACACGGCGTTGGTTGAGCCGCCAACAGCACATGCAACCAACAATCCTTGGACCATGCCACTGCAGGCGTCGTCTGCGCCGCCCTGCATGGCATGGGCAGTCGCCGCGGCAAAGCACCCGGCCCCCGCAGCTCCTGCGCCGCAGGCTTGCCACCTGGCTGCAGCCCACACGTCAAGACGCGGCCGCCGACCCCATGGCAGCTGCCCAATCATGGCCGTGGCGCCGGACGCCGAATGGTTCGGCAGGCCGCAGCGGCTTGGCCGCCCCATGCAGCTCCCCCCCACTGCCCCACCCATGGCCCTGCCCAATCCACCGCTGCGGTGTTTTCAACCCGGCTCACCCTGGACCTGCATCTTGATCTTGGACGTCACCTCCTTGAACGCCGCCATGGCCTCGGACGTGCGATGCACATCCTCGTATGCGGCGCGGTCGACGTACCTGCCAGGGGGCGTGCAGCGAGCCGGAGCAACCAGCACAGGGCGGGTCGGCGGCGGCGGTGGCGGGCGGCGCGTCTGCAGGGGGCTGGTGCTGGCAGTACGAAAGCATATAAAGGCGACGCAGGCGGGCTGCATCCCGTGGGCCCGGCCTCGAGTTTGCATGGCCTGTTGATTCTCATCCTCCGATGGAGACCGAAACGACGGTTCCCCGTCTGGCGCCGCCTTCCTCGGCCGCCCCCTCCTCCATCAAAGGGCCGCCCGCAGGGAAAGCGCCGCGCCCGCCCACCTCTCGTAGACCAGGGCTTTGAGGGGCTCAGTGTCGCCAATGCACAGCTCGTAGCTCAGGGTGCCCGGCTCGTTGGCGCGCACCTGCATAAGCCGAGCGGGGGCAAAGAAGTCGGTTGGCCGGCGTCGGCGATGCAACGAAGCAACCACGCAGGAGCGATCCCGGGCTCGCTGGGGCAGAGGGCCCAAAGGGAGCGCCGCTGCTGCGAACGTGCGTGCGCGCGTCGCGCCGCAGGCCTGGTGCTTGTCAAGTTTGGGAGCAGCTGACGGGTGGCAGGAAAAAGCACTGTGCGTGGGGCGGAGGGAGCCGGCCACGCCTGCGGGCACATGTGGCAGCCGGTGCTGACCCGAACCCCCCAACGAAAACGCAGTTGATGAGGCTGTCGGGTAAAAGCGCACAGCCACCCCTCACCACCACCACCACACACACACAAACACGCAAACACACACACGAACGCACCCACCCACCTGGTCCACCATGGGCAGCCAGGCGGCCACCCACTTGTCGCGCTGCTCCAGATCCTTGAAGGTCAGGCTCACCGCTAGCACAAACACCTGGATCACGTAGGTGCGTTGGATCATTCGTTGTTCATGCTGTTGACTGGATTTTGATTAGTCATCATATTTGTGGCCGTCTTTAAGTATGCCAGGCAAGTTCTTGGGCCGAGGCGGGCGCCCCTCCTCCTGCTGGGCCCGCTGCCCGCACGCAGCATTGCCGTCCGGAGGGTCCCCGGCGCGCCGGCCCTGCCTGTGCACGGGGCGGCACGTGCGGGCCAGCCGGGAGCCGCTGCTGTTGCCCGCGGGGCCTGCTGTTGCCGGCGCCGCCGCTATTGCTGCCGCCGTTCGTTGCTGCTGTTTCAGCGGTGCCCAGGCGCCAGCTGGCGCGGACAGGACACGACCCAGCCGGGCGGCCTGCATGCCGCTGACAGTCATGACCCCGGCAACTTCTGCTGCATGGCCTACTGTGTGCCCACACGCTGCATACGCAACTTTTGGTCGGATTCAATCCCCAAAGCACGCATCGCCTCGCCTTTTTGTGCTTGCGCGCCTCATCCGCGGCGGCGCGCCCAGCCCTGTATGAGTAGTACAAGCCCGCCGTCGTCGCAGCAACCGCCGCCACATGGAGCGCCCTGCATGCACAGCATGAGTCAGGCGGAAGAGCCGAATGCTCTCAAGTGCGGCAGTCGCGGCCCGCTACCCTGCCTGTGTTGTCCCGAGGCAAGGCGCAGCGAAGCGGCAGCGCAGCAGTAGCACAGGCACAAGATGGCACACGGAAGCACAACAGCCCACGCCGATTAGTGACTGAGCGCGTCGGTTACTTACCAGTTTTGCGAGTTGCTGAGGCCCTGAACCATGGTGAGGCGTGCTGCCGGCAGCTGTCAACGCACAAGTGTCAGTGATGTGGTCGCGGTGAGATATAAACTATCGAGTGATATACGTGTGGTTGTGTACAAACATTGAAGTCACGTTTCTATTTAAAAAACTCACTTTCCACCCGAATCGATCTCCGATGCTGCTCCGGCAAGCAAGCAACGCGCACTTGCAGCGTCCTGCACACAGATGTCTACTGCGTGTGTCCAAGCAGCGGCCGATCGCACCTCGCACCAGGGCGCGCAGCGGTGGTGATGAGGTGCGGGATGTGTGCACAGGATGGGTGGCCGCTGCCCAGTGCGTGACGTGTCGCCTTTGCGCAACCGCGCGCCCGTGCCTCATTCGCAGCCGTCCCGATCCGAACCCCTTCTTCACCGCATGCCCCGTGCATGCACGCAGCGGCCGCCCGGCGAGCGTGCGCCGGTGACGACGACGGAGAGCTCAAAGCCCGAAGAGCTCAAGCGGAGCAGCGGCAGCAGCGGGGGCGGCGGGAGCGGCGACGCGGCGACGTCGGCGGCGCAGCTGGTGGCCGAGATCGTGGCCTCCCCCATATTCTACCTCGTGGCAGGTGTGCAGGGTGGGGGCCACACCCCCTCGGCTCCGCGGCGGCCTGCGCACCGCTTCCAGGCCTCGAGCCCCCGAAACCAGGCTGCAAGTCGACGTGCATAAACGCGCATGTTGTGTCAGCGTATGATGCGGTATTGTGAGGCTCTCCAATCAGGGCATTTGGCTAGCGCCCCTGATGGTGATGCGCCGCGCCTGCCTTTCTCTGCAGGCCTGGTGGCCATCAAGCTGGTAGCTTCGACAGGGGAGCAGTCGCTCAGCATCTTCTTGTTCGCGGTGCGGGGTAGCTGCCTAGCAGCTGACAGCGTGTTGGCGGTCGGTCCTTGTCGTTTCGACTGCCTGTGCCTAAGTACGACCTCGTACGTGCACACGCATTGACATGGCCGCACCTGATTGATCGCAGCAGCACCTCATGAGTGAGCCCGGATCACCTGTGCCGCATTGCAGCATGTCGCCAGCCACGCACTCCTCCCTGCCGCCCCTTCCTGCGCTTTGTTGACACCATCCTCCCTTTGCACCACATTGTGTGTCAGTCAAAACCCACCCATTGACGGGCAACGTTGTCTTCGTCCAGCCGCACGCAACCATGCCACCCTAACCCAAGCCCCAACCGACCATAGCAACCCTGCAACGATTAGCTACCAGCCGACCTTCATTCGCCGCCCAATCCACCAGCAACTGCCAACCACCCAACCGCCAACCGCCAGGCCGCGCCCATCACCCTGCTGACGCTGCTTTCCAAGAGCAGCCTCGGCCAGCAGGTGCAGGCGTCGCTAAATGAGAAGCTGCCGCAGCTTGAGGCAGAGGCAGAGGCGATCAGGCAGCAGCACGCAGGTGGGGTCGCTTTCAGGGCGTGAGCCCACGTGCATTTTTGGGCGACTGGGTGCTTTGAAGGGAATGGTGGATGGGTTGGTGGCTGGTGGTGTGTGCAGCCGCTCTGTGTCTTTCCAACCTCCAGCTTATGTATGCAAAAGAAGGCTCTTTCTGTATGCGTGTTGCAACGAGCCCGCATGAGCTCACCCTTGGCCCACTCGCTGATGTGTCCTGCACCCATTTATATGAGCAGAGGCGCGGCGTCAGAGCTCCTGGTTCGGCGCTGGCCGCCCGCAGCTGCCGGCCGCGCTGGGGGGGCGGCAGCCGCACCTGACTGGGGCGGTGGCGGGGGACTACGGGTTCGACCCCCTGGGGCTGTCCCGGGAGCCAGAGGCGTTCGGCCGCAGTTTTGAGGCCGAGCTGCTGCATGCCAGGTGGGCGGGGGCCGCTGCTCAAGGTGTGGTATCATGCGATTTGATGTTGGTCCACGTGCACATGGGCATGCGGGCACACATCTGGCTGGGTCAGAAGCAAGGCGTGCACGTGCGGGCACAGCAAGGGCGCACACACACGATAGCTTGCGCGTGTACACGCGCACGCACGCACATGTGCATGTGTGCGTGCACTTGCCTGCGTGCGTACACACACACACGCACACACACACACACACTCTCTCTCTCTCACACACACACACACACGCACATGTACACACACACACGCACACAAGCTCACACACACACACACACAACCTCCGCATCCAGGTGGGCTATGCTGGGAGCCGTAGGGGCGCTGGTCCCCGAGGCTCTCAGCATGGCGGGGGTAGAGCTGGGGGAGCCCGTCTGGTGGAAGGTGAGCGGGCAGGGCTTGCAGTCCATTGATGGCTTTTTCTTGCAGGTCTGTGATTGGTGGTGGGGATAAGTAAACGGACTGCTCGCTCCACTTTGCCGCGTACCAGCCACACCACCCACCCAGTTCTCCGCACGTGCGCCCCCTCCTCACATCATCCTAACGCTCCTCCTACCCCCCCCCCCCCCCAGGTGGGCGCGTCCAAGCTCAACTCTGACCAGACTCTCAACTGGGGCGGCATCGAGGGGTTCCGCATCGCAGGAAAGCAGGGCATTGGCATCATCGCGGCCTGCCAGGCGGTGAGACCAGCGTGCGGCCAGAGGTTGCTGTAGTTTCTGGTCTTTGGGGGTCAAGGCGGTGGGAGTCTGGGACCAAAGCATGTCTCAAACTGTTAGGAGGTAACGAGAGGGGCAGCTGGATTTACTCAGGCCCTCTGGGGAGTATGCTGGCAGCGGCGGCTGCAAATGCCCGCACGGCAGATGCACGCACGCGCACCCATGGCTTGCACCCACGACGCCGCTTGAGGCGTGGCCCCATCACGCCTCCCGCCCGCTGCGCCGCGGCGGCCCCGGCGCCGATAGTCCGCAACTCGTGTCCAGCACACACTGTTGTCACATGTGATTGTACAATCATGATTTCGCCGTGTTGCCTGCGGCGGCAGGTGCTCATGGGTGGCCCTGAGTACGCGCGCTACGTGGGCATCAAGTCCCTCGAGCCCGTCGGCGTCTTCCTGCCCGGCTGCCCCGACATAAATTACCCGGGCGGCGCGCCCTTCGACCCCCTGGGCTTCTCGAAGGACGCCCCTGGCTATGTGGACCAGCAGGTGTGACCGGGCTGGGTGCACTTTTGGGGCAACCATATCCCTTCTGCCCCACGCAGCTGTACCTGCATCGGCCACCCTTTCACAACAGCGACCTGCGGCAGCACTTTTCACCAGCCATTGTGGTCTTTTGAGTTGCGCCGCGTGTTCACCGTCACCGTTGTTGTGTGTGCAATTCGTATGGCGCGAGTGCACGCTTGCCCCTGTGCAGGGCGCTGGACCCCACGCACCCTCGGTCACCCCGTGCCTGCTGCTCAACGTCGGTTGCCGCCATCACCCGCCCTGACGCATCCCCACTCCAGGTGAAGGAGATCAAGAACGGCCGCATCGCCATGGTGGCATTCCTGGGATATTTTGCTCAGGCCGCCGCCACGCGCCAGGGGCCGCTGCAGAACCTGATAGACCACCTGAGGGACCCGGTACACAACAACATCGTCACCACCCTCCTGGGCAAGTGATGCTCGGGCTTATATATATACAACAGCTTTTGGAACCTCTGTGTTGAGAAATCCCAGTATTGCTGGGACTGGCCAATGCTATCTGCTGGACTGTGTGCGGCGACAGCGATGTGGCGCGGTGACAGCTCATGGCTTCCCCGCAGTGTATTTTTTGCGCATGATCAGTTGCACTCGCGTTGGTATGTCCAATTGTTGGTAACGCATGGGCCGGACGCAACGCCATTCTGCCGGATCTGTTCTGGATTTGCCAGCAATTCAAGGTCGTAGAGTGCGGTCTGGCAGGCGTGTGTGGCGAGGCAAAAATGATTCAACCAGTGAGCAGAGGTCGACTCGACGAGGTGGCCAGGCCGTGCATCCGCCTACGTTACCATGACTCAACAGCTCGCACCCACCACAATTTTAATGCAATCCCATACAGCCGCAGCCTGCAGGTCTGTGGTGCAGCGCGTGATGATGTACGCGGCCCCATGCGCCCCTCGACACCACTTCAGCTTGCAAACCACGCCCGCGGCAAACGCGGTCTCTGCCTGTTGTGGTCGCCTCAGCTTACAATAAAACCGTGAGCCGAAAGCAGCTGCTGCCATCCATGGTGCCTGGCGTCACTTGGCGGATAGCACGTGGGCGCCCTATGTTGCCTTGAAGCTCGGCCACTCACACTGGTGATGGATTGATTATCAAGGTGTGGGCGCAAGGGGAGGCGGCGAGGTTGAAGGAGGAGCAAAAAGGGTTGCGGCGGGCTGCCGCTGACGCAGTAAGCTGCATGCCGGAACGGTGTGCATCGTAAGCATCACAGCATCCTTGACTGCGGGACCCTTGCCTGAGCCCTCACCCTGCGCACGCTGCTTGGAGCCGGCCCCCTTCCTGCACCCAGCCGCGCACCTGGAACACTGCGGGCGGCAGGCGCTTGGCTTGCTCGATTGTGAAGCAGCTGGAGGGCACCGCGGCGCAGCGGCACCAGACGCACCCGGGGGTCTTGGGGCACTCGGCCTGTGGGGGCGGGTGCATTGTCAGGGTTGTTTCGGCGGACGGCGCGTGTGGTAGGTGGCGGATGAGCGGTGTGTGGGGGAAGGGTACGCAGGCGCAGCAGGTGAGCTTGGGCATGCTGGTGGGAAGAGCATGGTCCAGAGGACTTGGCCGTGTGGTCATATGCAGGTGTCTCAGGGGGGTAACAAGCGGAGTACGGTACACCTGCTCAGCGTGCGCAAATTTCGCCCGTGTGTGTCGACGTCCCTGCTGCCGGCGCTGGAACGGCATCAAGCATCCAACGAGATTCGACTGCCCCAACATGTGCGGTCGGTGTCCCATGCGCAGCAGCACTCGCCTGTCCCAGCGGCGCACACTTGTCCGCGCCAAGTGCACCGTGCGCTGCGTCAGCGATCCAATATGCACGTGGCCGCGATGTGGCGGACGCCACCGACGCAAGGAAAGCTAGTGCTACGATGAACGCGACGACTGCCCTCATGTTGAGCTGCCTCGGTGTCCTGCCTGATCTGAGAAGCGAGATCACAGCCCTTTTACGTGATTACTCTCGGCAATTGTATTCAAAAGTTTTGTTTTCATAAGATCATGTCGCGTATACGATACGCTACCACCTTGTATCGATACCAGCCGCGGTCGTCGTCAAACCAAGCGCCAATCGATGGCTCTCAAAGCGCCCATACGTGGTGCGGTTCATAAGCAACTACTTGTGCGGCCGCAGCAGCAATGGCCGTCTGCGGCCCACCGCGCGCCGCGTCGGGGTCGGCAGGACTGCGTTGTGGCGCACACTTCAGGTGGGCGGCGCTCAAGTTGCTTCCATGTTCTGTCAAGTGCCCTTAATCCTGCTGGCCGCAGCAGTGGTTGCGCAAATGGGTTCCCATTAGCGGTCAGCCGCCTCAGCATCAGCAGCAGTGAGCTCATTTGACGAGTGAAATCGACCCCCCCTCCCCCCC